GGTAAACGCAAAATTTGTTGACACGCGCACCGGGTGAGAATAGCCACAAGACCCGCCTGCACTATTCTCACCCCGGGTGAGAATAGAGGTGGCCCCGAAAATTATTCGTTCCTGTCAACTGCCGCAGTTCTTAGCCAGGCCTGAGAAGTTTGATGCAGTCACTCTCCTGGCTGGGTGACCAGATGGGGAATAGTTAAAATAGTCTGATTATTAGAGCTGGGCGAAGAATCTAGTCGGGAACCGATTCCCAAGACTAATGCTACGAAAGAAAAGTTCCGACTCCTTTTTACGTAAACCAGCCGTTACCAGTAGAATCTAACTTTAATCTGTAAAATCTTCTTTTTAATTTTTAGATTTTTTTGGGGGAAAAATAAGAATTAATGCTTCGTAGTGTTCCGAAATCAAGGTTATCCTAAATCCTAAAGATGTTCGGAGCTGCCATGTAATCATGTAATCACAGGAAGAAATCCCATCATTGGAAAGTAAGTAATTGGGTTCGGAGTCGATTCCTACGATTCTAAGCTTTCAATAACCGAGAACCTCGCCGCCCAGCACTACTGATTATCAGTCATTCGATCCAGGTTTGAGTAATTGCCTGATCTGGATCAGTCATTCAATTTCACATTCTAATTGTCAACAGACCTACAAAAAAGGGGGTTGTGCCTGTTATAAACCTCTTCAGATAGATTTCAACTCAGTTCCCTTTTTTTTCTTTCTGAAGACAAAGGAAAGACATCACACTTGGCAAGACCAAAAGATTGTTGTGTTACGACAGATTTCTAAAAGACAAGATCGCCCAGGTCTTGACCTACTTTAGGCGACACTGGAATACCGAGACTAATAATATCACAAAACGTAACACTTTCAACATAAATTCACTTTACCAAACGCTTTGAACTGATCTGTCGTCATGAAACGGTTTTAAGATTTCCAACTCCAAAAAATTAGGAAGATTATACTCGATTGAATGAGGGCTTGCACTGTTTGATGAAATGCCTGCCTCTATCGTCCAGTGAAACCGGAAGTGATCTGACTGAGAGACTGTGGCGAAACAGGAAGTTGACGCAAGAGCTTGGCTTAGCCAAAGCCTCGAAGTGTTGTAGCTTGTAGTTCGTGCAGTCATTGATTCAGTACAGACACCGGTACCAAAGAGGGAAATCTACCTCTTTGTTTTTGACCGGTACTGAACCTCACTGAACGGCGAACGGCCACGCCTAGCCCTAGGCTATGCCATGTAAATCAAGGGTCTAGCTTACAGATGGCTGTACGGGAAAAAATACCCGACAATCTTTCCTTCACAGAGAGTGGTACACCAGTTAGTAGAGCAGTGTCATAAATGCTGGACCCGACAAAAGTACACACCGGTACA